GAATAAAGAAACTGTTAGCAGACAGCAGTCCCTCCAGGGCTGTGAACACTAAGCCCAAGGCTGGGTTAGAGGTTTCTTTGGCCTTCTCTGTGACATGAAGACCTTTCCATTTTAGCTATGTCTCATTCTGGATTGGGGTATTTGTGTATAAAGACATCCATGCTCCCTGAGGACAGGGCAGGGTCTAACTCTTCTCTGGGTCCCCAGCATTGCCTAGCACAGGGTCAGGCCTTCAGGAGGACTCAGAAAATGGGTGTTAAATGAATGACTAAGTTAACAAATATCTTTTCTTCGCCTGTAAACACCTACTCATTCTTCAGACCTGACCTGAACATCTCCTCCTCAGGGAAGCCCTCCCTGGCTCCATCAGGTTCACTCCTCTGGGTGTCCACAGCTCTAATACCTTCCTCTGTCACAGTCAACCCTCCTTTGTGCATGTCACTTTGTCCATAACCTCTACCAGACTTGAACTCCTCTTGGAACCAGAAGTGCATCCACAAATACAAATGGAAAGGGGAAGAGGACCTTCCAGGCAGGGAACACAAGCAAAAATCAGGAGGCTAGAACACTCTGTTAGTGTTCATAGAACAAATGGACAGCCAATATCTGAGTCCAGGGATTAGGACTAAGTCTGTCCGCCCGAGTAGACCTATAATCATCACACTTCTGGAACCTGGAGTTGCCACAACTCCCTGCTTGGATGTCTGCCCTGCTGATCCCAGCCCTGTGGCCCCAAGCACCTTCTTGGGGTCCATGTTGAACTTCTTCCGACCCATTGCCATCTTCCGGTTCCGCTGCAAGGTCTTACTGCAGGAAAAGAGAGCAAGGTGGGTGTGGTGGGCAGAAAGTCAATGCCTGGGCATCCCTGGCCTGGCCCAATGCCCCCCAAGTTCCCTGCCCCAACCCTCACCTGCCCTCATTGGCTTCCAGACCCTCCACCTCGCTCATGGCTTCGCTGAGCTCCTCCCGCAGGCGCTGGATCTCCACCAGCAGCTCCTGCTTCCGCCGTCGGATGTTCTCCAGCTCCATCCGCTCCTCCGGAGTAAGGTCTGGGGGCTCTGAGGGTGGGGGATCAGGGTTTGGAAGTCAGTACCGGAGGCTGGGAACCTGGACTCCTGCAGTCTAGGGGAGGACGTAGGTGGAGGAGGATGAAGATGGGGCCTCCTCTGTCTGATGGAAGAAGGGACGGGGGACCTGGATTCTTCAGTCCAGGGAAGGAAGGGCTGGGAAATCTAGAACCTTGCGTCCTGGAGGAGGAGGAGCCTTGGGACCCAGACTGAGGGGGAAGGGGACTGGGAGCCTGAGCTCTTAGGTCTGGGGGAAGAAAGGGCTAGGAGCCTGAACTTCCGGGTCCATTACTTGGATGGGGGCTGAGGCTTCGATTTTCTGACTCCATTACTAGCAAGGTAGCTGGGGTTATGGACTCTTAGGCGATGAGAAAAGACGGGCCTGGGCATCTGGACTCCTGGGTCCATGAAAAGTATCCATGGCAGGGGAAGCTGATGGCAGGTTTTAAGAGTTGTAAAAGGGGGGCGGGGCATCAAAAGCCCCCGCCCCGCCTTAGCGGGATCTCGGAAGCCCTCAAGATTTCTCCCCACCCACCCCCGCAATAGTGCCCCTCCCCGCACCCAGCGGGCACTGGGCTCGCCCGGCCACTCCAGCGGGAATGGTTCCGCCCTTGCCTCGCCTCCCTCGCTCCATCCCGCCCCCTCCCGCCGCCACCGGAAACAGGCTGGGACCAAACAATGGCCTGGAACGCCCCGCTCTCGGGCCCTGCCGGAAGCCCGTCCTGCGCCCCACAAAAGCGAGACGACGATGCGGACGAACGGCTCCGCGCAGGGAGCACCGGGAGGGACCCTTCTCTGGGGAACTTTGGGGAGGAAACGCTCCATGCGCTCCCAACCGGCCCCGCCCCTCCCCGACCTACCATAGACACCGTCCTCCATGGCGGCTAGGAAGGCCCGCGGGGAGTCCGGAGCGGTCCCGCCGGTTGGGCCTGGATCCGCGTTGGCCCGCGGGCTCGGGTGAGCCCGCTCAAACGCCCCGGGAGCCACCGCCGCCTCCTCAGCGCCAGTCCTCAGCGCTGAAAAGACTCTCTCTTCGCCGCCCAACCGCCCGGCCAGTAAGAACCGCCCCTCGTTTTGACACCGTCCAATCCACGGTGGGCCCTTTCATCTGCTCCGCCCCCAACAGCAAAGGATCGTCCTCCAGGACCAATAGGCCCACAAGGAGCAGAAGTAGTAATGTCCGGCTGGAGGTAGACGGCCTGTGGGGCCAATCGGAGTACAGGCAGGGTTCCAGGCCCTGCCTCCGAAACAAAAGAAAGCACTTGGCAGGCTTGCCCACCAATGAGAAGCCTCCGGAAGGAGCTGCATGGGGGTGGGGCTATGCGAAGCAGAGAGGACTGCGCCTGCGCAAGGGCCCTGGACCCTCGAGAATAGGTCAACCCAGCCCTACCTCTCGTATAGCGTTGCTAGCGGACGGCACTTAGTCTTGTTGCCGGGCGGGGGGGGCGGGTCCGAAACTATGGGTTGTTTCCGTGAGCCACACCTAGCAGGCCACGCTGGCTTTTGACGGCAGCGGTTGCCATGCAACCAGGAGCAGCTTTGGCCTGCCTTTCTTTTGCCTCCCTTCTCTGGCCATTTCTCTCTCCTTTCAGGCTCCTCCGATCTCCAGACCTTTACCACCTCCATGACCTCCTCATCCCCCTCAGACTCTGCAGAGTCAAGGAGTGGTGAGAAGACTTGTTCCTTCTTCCAAATGCTGAGCTATTCGAAACTTGTCATGGAGAACAGGACAATCGGGGAAGGCCAAATTTAGTGACAGCACAGGCTCCGCCTTCCTGGCGCCTTCTGCCTCTCTGGCTTCTCCCCTAAACTACTCCCATTAGCTTAGCTTCCTTCTCCTAAGACCCCTCCCTTCCCCAAGCATCTAACTCCCCTTCCCTCAGCATCCTCCCACTCTCTGATTCCTTCCCCTCTCCGAGACCTTCCCCTCTCCAGCTCCCTCACTTTAAGTCCCCCAACCTCCACCCATAGTCTTGCCCTTCTTAAACTCCACCCTCCTCTCAGATCATCCCACATCTGAGGCCCCTCCCTTTCCCCAGCCTCTCCGTTTCCATTCCCTGCAGGGAAAGCAGGTGCAGGGGTCTGCCGGGATGGGGAACCGGGGCACCCCTGTAGATGGGCAGGCCCATAACTGGGACTGAAGTGGTCCCCATTATGTCTGGGCCTCGTCATCATTCGCTGTCTCTGGGCTGGGCAGGTGGGGACGGATTCGGGGCCAGGACCTGGTTAAGCTATTGGATTAGACACGGAGCCTCCTAATCCCCTCACTGACCTTTATGAGTGGCCCGGGGCCTGCCCTCCCCAGTGGAGACCCAGGTTGTGCCAGCCCTTCCCCCACTCTCTCTTCTTCTGAACAGAATCCCCTCCCTGCCCTTTCACTCCCAACTTGATATCCTTCCCCAACCCTGTGTTTCCATTGTCCCCAGTCCCTACCCCAGACACCCTGAGCTGGGAGAGCAGCCAGCTAATTAATCCCATCCGGTTATTACATGGGGATTCTGAAGGATAAAAGGAGACGGGGAAACCAGGAGGGGGACCTCAGTTGATGTAGCACTTGCGCAGGATGATGAGCAATGACAGTGCCTGCCCTCGGTCTGGGACACAGGGGTGGAGATGTATTCTCCTCCTCCCTGGCACTTGTTCCCTCTGCCGCTGGCTCCCAGCCTGTTGGGCACTTATACAGGTGGCATGGACTAGGCTGGAGGACTTATGCCCAGAAACACATTTACAGACATGCCCACCAAGGGCTCCCAGTTCTTTAATCTGGGGGACAGGTCTTCCCCCTTGCACTACCCCTTGCCAGCCCTGTGATTCAGACACCTGAGTTCAGAGCCAGCCTCCAATGGCATCTCCCATTGTACCTGCTCCTGGAAAGCCATGCATTCCATCACTAGGCAGAGCCAGTGAGGAATCATCCTGTTGCAAAGGCCCCTGGAGAACTTCAAGTTCCAGTGCCCCATTTTTACATATGGGGAAACTGAGGTAAAGGGAGGGGAATGATTCATTCAAAAATCACATAGTAAACTGGGGCAGAGTTGGGATTTAGAGCAAAGCTTCCTGGATCCTTGAAAGGACTACAGTCCAATTAGCTCAAGCTCAATTTCTAACCCTGCTGCAAGAACCAGGGGAAAAAATAGATATCTGTATTTATATCATATATATATATATATATAAAATAGATACACATCACTAAGGTGTAGGATTCCAGGGCATTCTAGACTCACCAGCCTTGGGCCTCCCCCTTCCTTGCCTACTAGTTGCCCTGTGATGTACAGGGTCTCACCTGAGCCCTTCCCTTCTAGGTCAGCCCAGAAATGCTGCTTATTGGGTCCTGAGTCCACCTCCTAGAACTGCTGAGCTGTCCTTCTGGAGGTGATTAGAACTTCCAGGCTTTGGTAGTGAACAACTCTGGATCCATGGAGCCTTGATTCCTTTTGGCATTACAGAACCACAAGAAGTCATCTAGAATCATCAAGATTCTCAACTCCATTGGGCAAACTGGAAGCAAATTTCAGACATCTAGAATTGCCCCTCCTTCCTTGACTCTGTGATCAGTCTTGAGCCACAGAATCCCGATTCCTTTGAACATTCTAGAATGATACTTTAAAAAAAAACAAAACCCAACACCCTGTGGATCATTTAGAAGCAATGCTTATCCCCTTGGCTGGATGTTCTATAGCAAGTAGTCTGGAGTTATCTAATCAAGAACTCCCCATCTTTCACTTTAGACCTTCTAAGCCCACAGACTTGCCATTGTTTTGCACATTGTAGAAACATAACTCTTTAGTTTCTGGAGTAGTTCAGCTCTTTAGGTCAAACCTGTTCTAGATTCACCAGTACTCGCTTCTGTGTTCAACCCAGACTCACAGAATTCAACTTCTGGGCTTTCTGGAATCACACGGTCTTTTCTTGGCTTGTAGTCACTGTTCCTTTTCTTTGGTCAATCAAGGTGATCTTGAATATTTGGGGCATTCCACAACCTCCTTTGGTGGTCTAGAACAAATGATTTACTACTTGGTTGGCTGAGTCAAGAAGCAACAGTCCCTTCAATCTTAGGTCAATCCAGACCTACAAACTTCTGATTACTGTTGTTTGGAACTGCTAACTTCCTACCCTGGAGGTGGTCTATGCCACTGATTTATGACCCTGCTCAACAACTCCGGCCCAGCCATGTGCAGGAATCTAGAATTACCAATCCTTGCCTATTGGATAGTCCAGAATTCTGGATCCTTCAGCTCTGGTGAGACTCAGGAATTGGGCTCATAAAGGGGTCTCAGGAGGGAGCCCAGAAGCAGAGGAATTAACGTCCATTATGTCCTTGGTGGGTCCACCCGCATGGAGAAACTCACCAGCTGATAATTTACCCAGCAGGCTTGTTGGTCTTGGGAAACACCTGCCCCCATCCCAGAAGAGGGACCGATCTCTCCATCTTGCTAGCTCTGGGAAGGGGACACAAATGGGGAAGGGGACATCAGCTTGCATCATGCAGGCAGGGTCAGTGCCAAAGTTGGCGTGAGAACTCGGGTACTGGTAGCCCCGTCTTCTGTCTCTGCCCCATTCCCCTCCTTGGCCTCCTCTTCCTCCTCTTCCTCCTGGCAGCAGCTCAGAGCAAGTTCATTTTCATAACAAAATGCAGCCAGAGAACCTGGGAAGCTAGATTTGAGGCTGTGGGAAGCCCGTTCTGCCCGTTCATCCAGCTCCTTGGCACTGCAGACAGGTGTCCCTGGGACCTCATAAGTGCGATGAAAGTGGCGATAGTCCACCTCATACTGGGAGCCACGCTGGAAGAGGACCGGCTCAAAACGATGGCCCCAGAGCAGCTCACCAGGGAGGTAGGATGAGCGACACTGTGTGGTCATGGCCGTGGCCTCAACCATACCCTCGAGAATGACCACTAGCTCGAAGTCAGCCTGGGCCAGCTCAGCACGTCCTAGCTCATACAGAGGACTGGCAGAGTCGATCTCATGCACAATGGTGATGGGAGACACGAGGAAGATGCGATCGGTGCCTCCATCAAAGCCCACGTCCACATCCTGGTGGTCTAGTGGGATATACTCCCCTTCTGGGGTCACACGGGGCTGCAGAAAAAGGTAAGAAAACAGTAGGGAGAACAGAGATGAACAGAGACAGAGACAATGAGAGAAAGGAATGGAGATGCAGAGAAAGAACAGAGCAAAGACCAGCAGGGGTGAGGGGTAGGGTGAGAACATGGATCCAGAGAGAGGGGGATGGCAACCCAGACAGAGAGAGGGGGACAGAAACACAGGAGGGCACAGAGATCCAGAGAGTAGGATGGAGACCCAGAAAGGGACAGAGCCCCAGGGGGAGGGGGCCAGAGACCCAGGAGGATGGAAGTCCAGAGAAAGGTGACAGAAACCCAGAAGAGGGATGGGGTAAGGGGCGAGAGAGTCGAAAGAGGTAGAGAGGAATAGAATGATATTGTCACAGAGCCACAGATATAAGACAGATGAAATCAAAGAGAAAACAGAAGATAAGAATGACATCCAACCAGGAATTGGAGGAGAGGGATAGAAAAAAGGAAAGTGATAGAAAAATGGCTATTAATAAATGACCAGAAGAGGGATTTAGGACTGTCTAGGTCCAGCACCCTGTACTCCACCACCAGTTCAAGCTAGCCCCAGGGCTATCTCCATCCCCAGCCCATCTACAACCTCGTGTGTGTGTGTGTGTGTGTGTGTGTGTGTGTGTGTGTGTGTGTGTGTGCGCGCGCGCGTGTGTCTCACATCCTGGCCATGTCAGTGTCCCACAGACTTCTGGAAGAGACAGTGTCCCTCCTGGTCATGAATCCCACTGTCTCAAACAGCCAGGCAAGAGGCAGAGGTTGGGGGTGGGAACCTATTACCTTGCAACTGTTTTCAGAAGCCCCCAGAGCTGCTGGGAGTTGTAGTTCCCACCAATCAGACATCTTCCTTCTGCCCCCCAAAGTCCAGCATCAGCTCAGAATTCTTAAGGGTTTTTACTTAGGCAGTTGTTCCCCCAGAGTTTGTTGGAAACAGGGATATTGGAGCAATTTGACCACAATTCTAGGAACACTAAGGCCCCCTCCTTAGGGTGCCCAAGGGAGCTGCTACTACAGGGTTGGTAGGAGTTGGAGTTAGTTTTGTTCTGTTACTGAGAAGCTATAATTCAAGGGTTCCCAACCCCCACCCTGTACTCATTTGGTAGCAGGCTGGCAGGAGAGACTAGGCCACTAAGGTGGGGAAAGAAGTCTCCGGCAAATGCTGCCGGACCCCACGCCCAGAGGCCTGAGAATTGAGTTTCACACTAGCGCAGGCATAAGCTGCATCCCATCCTCTGCCCACCTCTCCCACAATCCCACAGGGGCCTGGCCCCAAGTCATAGGCCACTCTCTGTGCCACAGTATCAGCTGGGAATTGAAAACCTGAGTCACAGAAAGGTCATACAACCCCCCCACCCCATACATCTCACACCACCCATCAGGGAAGTTCCCTTGACCCAGAGGCTTCTGGGAATTGTAGTTCCGAGCCTTTATGGGCCAAGGTGTGGACCTCACAGGTCTAGATTTCACACAGTCCCATAGGCGGCCATTCCTCATGCCACAGGATTAAGTTTCGTTTTGTTTTGGCGGCTGGCCAGCACTGGGATCCGAACCCATCACCTTGGTATTTAAGGCAGATGAGGTCTTTATGTCTCAAGATCTGTCGCAAGTCCAGGCCTCCAGGAAGAACTAGTCACAGACCTCTCTCGGGTTTACATCTCCTACAACTGTTTCCGCAGTCCATAAGGGGCTGGGGGCGGGGGGGGTGTCCCTGCCCCAGAGGCTGCTGGGAATTGTAGTTCACCCCCCCCCCCCCCCCGCCTTGAGGCCTACATCTGCTACACTCGCCCGGGGTTCTAAACCCAGCCCTGTGAAGGGCCCCTTCCCACTTCCCCACTGCACCTGCAGCAGCTGGGCCCGCACGTGGGCCTCAACCAGATGGCTGCGGCGCAAGTTGCCGACGCGCCACATGAGGCAGAGGCGGTGGTCCCGGAGCGCCACGACGGCATTCTCGCTGAAGACAAGCGTCTCGTTGCGCTTCTTGGGCTTGGCCATCTTGGCCATGACGGCGCCCACGACAAAGGCGTCGAGTACGCAGCCGGCGATGCACTGCAGCACCACAGCAGCCACGGCGGCCGGGCACTCCTCGGTGACGCTGCGCACGCCGTAGCCAATGGACGTCTGTGTCTCCAGCGCGAAGAGGAAGGCAGCCAGGAAGCTGGCGACCTGGGAGAAGCAGGGCGCGGGCGGCGGCGGAGCGGCCAGGTCTCCGTGCAGGGAGGCGATGAGCCAGAAGGCCAGGCCGAAGAGCAGCCAGGAGGCGAGGAAGGAGCAGGAGAAGAACAAGCACATCCAGCGCCAGCGCACGTCCACGCACGTGGTGAACAGGTCGCTCAAGTAGCGCGCGCCCTGTCCACCCAGGTTCACGAAGCGCACGTTGCAGTGCCCGTCCTTCTTGACAAAGCGCCCGCGGCGTCGGCCAACCTGCGACGGCAGTGGAGCTGGCGCCCACCCGTTGCGGCAGAGCCCAGGCCCGGCCTCCTCCTCATCGCCTGTCCTGCTGTCCCCCGACTCCAGGGCGCCGCTCAGGCGGCGCAGGGCCCTGGCCAGGCCCATTGAGCGGGGGGCCCCCCTCCACTTGACCTAGTGGGGGGCAGGCGCCCCGAACCTGCGAGGACAAGAAATGGGCAGGAACATCACGTCACGGCACAGTGCCGGGAACGGTTGGGCTTATCAGCCACGCATGCTATCTTGTGGGCCTCAGTGGCCTCATCTGCCAAATGGGTGGAACGATATTACAAGCACTTACCTTACACATTGGAGTACAGCATTAACAACAATAATACGGTAGGAGATACTTATATAGCTACAAGAGCAACAAAACTATAGCCATAACAGCATTCTAGCAAGCACCACAATAATTATAGCAGACATTTATACAGTGGTATATACTAAGTTAAATATACTAAATTTATGATTTATGTTGTATGTTATACTAAATTTATAGTTTAGACACTGTTGTAAGCACTTTGCATGAATTTACATATTTGGGCCTCAGAGCAAGCCTATGAGGTAGACATTATTATCCCCATTTTACAAATGAGGAAACTGAGGCACAGAAAGTTTAAGTAACTTGCCCAAGGTCACAGGTAAATTAACTGGGATTTAAGTGCAAGCAGTATAGCTCCAGAGTCCATGCGCATAAACCTTAAGTTGTAACTGCTTCTCAGCACGAAGTCAGCAATGGAAGGATGGGGGCTCTTTGGTCATCTATGGTTCAAAAACAGATTCAGATAGCACAATCAAGAAAAGGAAAAATAGATAAATTTGAATTTCGTCAAAATTAAAAACTTTGTGCTTCCAAGGACACTATCAAGAAAGTGAACACTAAGAACAAGGGTTCAGATCCCCATACTGGCCAGCCACCAAAAAAAAAAAAAAAAAAAAAAAAAAAAAGACAAACCACAATGAGACAGAATAGTTGCAAATGATATATATCTGATAAGGAGCTTGTATCTAAAAGCTCTTGCAACACAATAATAAAAAAACAAATAACCCAATTTAAAGCTGGGCAAAGGATCTACACAGACATTTCTCAGAAAAAGATATACAAATGACCAATAAGCACATGAGAAAATACTCAACATCTTTAGCCATCAGGGAACTGCAGTGAACCACACTGAGCTACCACTGCACACCCACTTAGGATGGCTATAATAAAAAAGCAACAAAGAAAACCAGACAATAGCAAGTCTTGGTGAGAATGTGGAGAAATTGGGACCCTCATACACTGCTGTAGAAACCAGTCTGGCAGTTCCTTAAATGTTTAAACATAGTTACCATTTGAGAGTACTTCAAAAAGTTCGTAGAAAAATAGAATTAAGGTATACAGATCTTTCCAGGAACCTTCTGAAGTACCCTCATATCACCCAGCAATTCCACTTGTACGTATCTAACCAAGATAAATAAATGAAAACAAATGTGCACATAAAAACGTATACACAAATGTTCATAACAGCATTATTCCTAATAGCCAAAAGGTGGAAACAACTCAAATATCAATCAACTGGTGAATGGATAAATAAAATGTGGTATATTCATCCAGTGAATACTATTTGATGATAAAAAGAAATGAAGTACTGAGAGATACGACAACACTGATAAACCTTGAAAACTTTATGCCAAGTGAAAGAAGCCAATCACAAAAGACTGTATACTTGGGCCAGCCCGTGGCTCACTCGGGAGAGTGTGGTGCTGATAACACCAAGGCCCCGGGTTCGGATCCCATATAGGGATGGCCGGTTGCTCACTGGGAGAGCGTGGTGCTGACAACACCAAGTCAAGGGTTAAGATCCCCTTACCGGTCATCTTTAAAAAAAAAAAAAAAAAAGACCGTATACTTTCATTAATATGAAATTTCCAGACTAGGCAAATTTATAAATTAAGTAGACTAGTGGTTACCTAAGGCTGGGGAAATGAGGAGATTTGGGAGTGACAGAGGACATGGGGTTTCTTTTTGGGTTATGAAATTGTTCTAAAATTAATTTCAGTGATGGCTGTACAACTGTGAATATACTAAGAGCCATTGTACACTTTAATGGGTGAATTGTATTTCAGTTTTTTGTTTTTGTTATTGTTTTTGTGACCGGTAAGGGGATCGCAACCCTTGGCTTGGTGTCGCCCACACCACGCTCAGCCAGTGAGCACACTGGCCATCCCTATATAGGATCCGAACCCGTGGCCTAGGTGCTCCCAGCGCCACACTCTCCCGAGTGAGCCACTAGGTCAGCCCTTGTGAATTGTATTTCAACAAAGATGTTACTAAACAAGCAAACAGATAAGTAAGTAAAACAGGCGCAGCCCTGACCCTCTGATCTTGGGCAACTCTTTTCTTTTTTTTTTTTGTCCTTTTTGAGACCGGCCGCACCGCACTCAGCCAGTGAGCGCACTGGCCATCCGTATATAGGATCCGAACCTGCGGTGGGAGCGCTGCTGCGCTCCCAGCGCCGCACTCTTCCAAGTGTGCCACGGACTCGGCCCATAACAAAGACAAGTTTTTTTTTGTTTGTTTTTTGTTTTTGTCCTTTTTGAGACTGGCGCTCAGCCAGTGAGCGCTGTGAGCACACCGGTCATCCCTATATAGGATCCGAACCCACGGCGGGAGCGCTGTGCTCCCAGCGCTGCACTCTCCCGAGTGTGCCACGGGCTCAGCCCCTTGGGCAACTCTTTTCTGAGCCTGTTCCCTCAATTGTAAAACAAGGAAACTGGGACTACTTCATCACGGTCATATGGGGCTTTCCCGTCACATAGACCCAGGGCCCAATCCTCCCTCAGCTGGTGACTTGTGTGCCCTGGGATCCCTGGCTTCCTTTTTCAGAGCCTCAGTTTGCTCACCTATGGGATGGGGACAAAATTCCCTAACTTGAAAAGAAGAGGAAATCCAAATGACAGACCTTGGGCTTTTGAATCAGGCAGCTCTCGGTTGAATCCTGGCTTGGCCACTTACTAGCTATATGATTGGTGGGTAGCAGGTCACATCCCTTCCTGAGCCTCAGTTCTCTCATCTGTGAAACGGAGGGAATCCCAGCAGTCCAAAAGCGTGGAGGAAGGAAGGGAAGGGGGGGGCATGGACCTGCAGATCTCATCACCCTCCAGCAACTGCAAGGTTAACCCCTGCACTGAAGTGGGGGGACTTCCAGGATCTGGCTGGGCTAGGACAAGCGGTACCAGTTAAGTAATTTGCTCATCAATTCCACCAATATTATGAAGTACCTATGTTTTATGTGCCCGCTGTAGCAGGTTCTGGGGTTCTTCATGGGCTTCTTGGCAGGGCCTGGGACATTCCATCCGAAGAGAGAAGCATTAGTCTATGTCATGTTTAGTACCAACAGGATCCCCTGCAGGTGTCCATGACCACCGGACAGCCCTGCTATGTGGGGGTTTATTAGGCCCATTTATAGAGGCAAAGCTGAGGCTCAGGTCAGAGTAGACCAGACCTGGCTGTGTCCAGCGCCCACAATGTGCCCCAACCTTGACTCTTTTCTCACCCTCAACCGCCCTGGATGTTAGAGATTTTTCTCCTGAAGAGAGGAAACAGGCTAGTCGCCCAAGAGGGCAGGTTTGGGGTTGGAATCCAGGATGCAACCTCTACAATTGCAACCCCTCTCCAGCCTGGAAACCCCCACTCTGGAATAGTCCTCCTTCTCAGGAGCCTTCCCAATGACAGGGCACGGCGCTCACACTGACCCAGCCCCCAGCCACTCCCCAGGGTGGGCCTCTAACCCACTCATCCATCTCTAACAACTTTTTGATGTGGGGACTTTGCTTTCCACAGAAAAGTAAACTGAAGCTCTGAGGTTAGCCCCTTGCCTCAGGCCCCTCAGCCAGGAAAGGAGTGGCAAAACCTGGACTCCCATCTAGGCCTCTGGGAGCCAAAACCTGAGTAATGAACCACAATCTCATCAAGCATGCTCCTGTTTCCTGAGCACCTACTATGTGCTGGGCCTTGTGATGAGCTCATTAAACGTTTGTAGACCACCCACTGGACTCCATCAGATCCCACCACTCACCTTGACTGCTCAGGATGCTGGGAGGTCAAAATCATTATCCCATTTCAGTCAGGGAAGGCCATGACTTGGCCAAGCCCACACAGTGCCAGGGGTTGGATGCTGTTTTGAGTCCTGAGCCTTTCCAACTCAGGACTCTGCCTCCTAAATCCTTGGGTCCCACCTCAGTCCTGTGAGGCAGACCTGACTGTGTCCATTTCATAAAGCCAACATGGACCATCACATCCAGGGGGCTCTGTCTGTGCCCAATGTGGCCCAGCTCCCAGGATGGTGGACACGACTGGGGCTCAGGAAACAGCCCCCCTCCCCTGGCAAAGGCAGGATGGAAGGGAAAATGATCCCGAGCCTGAAGTACCACCCCCCCACCACGTTATACGACTACACCCCCCCAAGAGTCTGGGGACCTCTGGTCTCATCTCCCTGGTGGTCACATTTCCG